CAACACTTGGTCACCAATCCTGATCTTCTCAACTCGCACGATAGACATATCTAGGTATTCAGCTCGGGATCAAAGCCTTGGATGATGCGTGCCACGATGAAGCTACTGACCACTTCACTGCTGCTGTCAACTCCACTGCATTCTCATCAAAATACATTCATTTGATATACGAGGACTTGGTCATGGTTCGTCAAGATGATGCACACCAAGCACTTTTGATAACCTAGTCCTTTTTGCAGCTCTTCGGCTGGGATCCTGAGTCCTTGTTGCTTACGACACACCAAAAACGGTGCCAGGCTCTCCTTTCGGCAGGTAAACCCGATGAAGCCCTCAATGCACACAAATACATGATGGACGCCATCAACGAGACTGTGAAGGCCAGCTGTCTCGATTGGTCCAATGGCAAGTCTTCCATCATTTCACCCACGACTGTCATGCTCACCCGCATGCCACTCAGAGTTCAAGGAGAAATGCACCACGCTTGGTGCGCACAATGACCATATTCTTGGTGTATGTACGTCTTTCCTTACCTCTTTCGATATTGACTATTATGCAGGCAGAGATCCCCAGGCAAGATCACGATGGATATGATGCAGAACCCAATTTCTTCCATGGAATGCATCAAGTGCGTATCTTTCTGTTCTCTCTCACATTATTTATTACAGGATTCTCAGACTTCCCGGCCAAGACTTCAACAGCGAGCTAGGCGCGTTGGGTGCCTCAAAAGACTGAGGCTCACTATTACGAGGAGGCTTCAGTCAGTTCCTGCACCACCCACCACATCACCACCAGCTGCAGTCACCAACACCTTCAAAACTCATTTACGACGCCTATTTAACCTACCACTCCATCATGCAACACCACCTGTTATCGACGTTCCTTATGCCCAAGGTCGACAGGTGCGCTTGGTGATTTTGTCATGACTGTTTCTTGGGTGTCTCACATTCAAATCTACAGCGTAATGCTGCAGCGGGTGCTCCTGGGAGTGAGCACTCCTTGAGCAGGCAATACTGTCATTTTAATGCATCAAAACAGGCTAAGTAGCCTAGTTTTGTGATGCATCAAGCTTGCTCATTGCGTGATGCATCATTAATGCATCAGGGATCTGACAGTTATGCATCATCCATCCGGTACATATTTGGGCTGCGCCATCCATATTTAGCACTTGTCCATCCATATTTAGCGCGCTGTACCTATATATACCTTGCTCCCCGGCAATATTTTGCTTCCGGTAGTACCCTGTAGTACCTTGCTCCTGGTAGTACCTTGTTCCTGGTGGTACCTTGCTTACCTACTCAAATCTTCGGTGTCCAGTTACTCAGTATTCAGTTTGGTAGGCCTCTTGCCGTTCCTACTCGAATCCTTTGGCCTCCAGCCACTCAGCATCCATTTTAGTAGGTCTCTTGCTGTCCTAGTTGTCCTTTCATATTAGTAATAGGGCAGGTCCCATCAATGACGCAATTTTTGAGCTGTGAATTCGCTAAGTCCCCAACTCCGTCATTCTACCAAGGTTTTCCACTAAGTCCTCAACTCTGCCATTCCGCCAAGGTTTTCCGTCTCGTACGTTACACAGTACATCACAATTAAGTTGCTGTAGCATACTATAATCAAGCATATTTTTTGTACTTGGACCAAATCAAACTGTTTTCAGAAAGTCAAAACAATGAAGTTATATTGCAGAGTGCAGCACAATATTTAGTACAGTGTACAATCACCAAGATGTAGAGGTACGTTAACAAGATATTTAAGAGTGACGAGCCCTTCTATAGAGTTTATCAGTATTATCCACCTTTGCACAGGAACAGATGAACATACTTCCGTGAGTCCGCGGGGCGAGCACGACGTGTGTGGACACCAATGTCATTATCACGTTCTCAGGGATTGAATGGAACATTGTTACAGACGCGGAGACGAGGCACATGTGCTGCTGGAGGGTCTAGTATTGTAGATGGACCCATAGATAAGGTAGGAGCTGGGGGGTTTTCAACATGCCGTCTATGCACCCCACGGCGAGGATGGACCTCCAGTTGGTTAGCAAGCGAATCACCTTCGTGGTTATTCTCTCCTTCCTCGCTATGCATGGACGAGATGGCAGGAAGAAGAACCTCTATCTCTTGATGTGGGCGATCACTGCCAGGAGATGTTGGATTGGTGAGGTTATTGGGAAGTCATACAGGTGAATCCGACAATTGGTTGGTGTCATGGGTCACTAACCAGTCAGGTATCCCACCTCCCACGGTGGTGAAAGCATGGGGATCGAAGGCTGAGAAATCAGCGGTCCCCGCTACGATGGGGTCCCATGCGGCCGCAGAGTGAGAATCACGACGCAACTCTGCAGCAAGTGATAAATGATCGCTTGCTCCAGTCATGCTGACTAGCCCACTCGATGCATCAGCAGTATCCAATGGAGTATGTGAGCTGCTCTACATGCACAATGAGACACATTTTGATGTATATTGATAGGCTATTACTCACCACATTATCTCCAAAATGCTCATCGGCTTGGGGAGTCATTCGATACAGGTCGCTTGTATTAAGGCCGGGTACCAGGAGATCCTCGACTCGACTCATACTACCCTCCCCAGCGCTCTTTTCCCACTCATTGGCTTTGTTGCTGTCCAAGTCTGACAAGGACTCTTCATCTTCATCACTTGCCGATTCATGAGGTAGGGTAGATTCAAATACTAGTTGGGAGAAGGTAAGGTTGGGCTCTGAATGTATAGAAACTCGAACTTACCGAGAGCGTTTGGCACAAACGCTAGAAAGGCAGCTTGCATTGCATCAAAATCTTTGTAAGCATGATTGGACTGGGCGCCGCTTTGAAGTTCACCAATGTGGTAACTTGACTAATGATGAGCACAGCCTCCGTTGAGTGTGTAAATGCTAGCACTACTCACTTGAACACTGATGCTTCTCCTGTTGTAGGATCGCGACCTCCCATGAGAATGGTAAACTTCCAGCCACCTGTAATATGGGCGAGATACTTGAGGATGCGGTCGAGCATTGGGCCCAGCTCACGGATTGCCCTACAGAGGATCAGTAATGTGAGGCTTGATTGATAAATGGTATGTACTTGACTTTCGTCTTGTCATCAATTTTCGGTGTCTTCCCAGACTTCAAATTCTGACGCTTTTTTCGGAATCTTGCTTTGGCCTTCTGATACTTCCTGTCAATATCGGCTTTGACGGATTCACTTTCCTCTGAGTACATATGCCGTGTGATCTCACGGCGCTTGTTCAGCTTGGGGCCTCTGCTAGTAATGTTCTCTGTTGCAATTGCAGCGTCTGCAGTATGCTTGACCTTTGCTTCATAGAATTTATGTGAGTAAATATCGATCTTTTGTGGGGCGCGTGTGCCTTTGAGTTCCACGCCTCCACCCAATATGGCATCAAATTTCAGCACACCCCTGGCCCCCTTTGAGCGACCAAGATGTGCCGGATTGACCTTTCACCTATACCAAGTGACAAGTTGCTGTCCAAAATCAATTAGTACGCCCTATCCAGTTTTCATACATGTGACTTACCTGCTGACGCACCTCAACTGCCTTCGCAAGAGCCTTGGTTTCGTCCGGGGTGAGAACATGGTCAGCTGGCATGTCTTTGAAGACGACTTGTTCCTCAAGCCACTTTTCGAACCATAGAGCCCATATGCTCGTGAAAAATTCATCGAAATTCTTGTCTGTGGCACTCTCACGGAATTTGGACATGAAGCTCAAAAGATATTCCTCCTGCTCTGGAGTGGTCCATTTTTTGCCCGGCATCTGGCATAACCCCCATAGCAAGGTCAGTTTTTTTTTCAAATAAAAGCAAAGCTTGGGGCGCACTTTGATGGTATGTAGGTGATAACGACAACAGGTGATATTCCACCATGGTGATCCTCGAGTACGGTAATCCCTCAATTTCCTAATTCCTCAGGCCGCTTCTTATTGAGAGTATATTCCCAGACTTTCACTAATTTAACAAAATTATGCACGCAAGAAAAGTTGTCTAGTTCTACACTAGATTTACACATATCACACCGCCACGCTCTCGCTCTCTCGCTTTATGCATGCACCGAATGGCTCCCTCATCTATCCCCTGAAAAAACAAATCAACTGTGGTGATAAACAATCTTCAGACAGAATATCTCACCTTCATGACTTCTTCACAGAAAAATATTCCGTTAGTGTTCGTTTTGGCATGCACGTCTGTTGATATAAGGTGTTCATAATGATGAAAATTTGAATCCTCTTGCTCGCACAGTGAGCATATGTTCCTGTCTTTACACAACCAAACAGGACGAACGTACTCAACGACGGCATCGAATAGCTTCAGCAAGCAATGCCTCCTGCAGCCCAGACAGTGCTTGATCATCGGGTATGTCTGCGAAGTGCACAGTACGTTCAGGCCAAGTTGTGAACCAGTGTGAATATACATTCTCCCAAAAATCATCCTGTTCTTCCACTGACCCAGAGCGAGCAATCTTAAATGCAGACAAAAATGTTTTGAGCATATCGCGCTGGTCATGCATGAGGACAGCAATCTGCGACATGGACATGGTGAGAGGAGAGCAAAATCAAGTTGTGGGATAGCGCCATAACCTGACCTACAGAGACCATACACGTCTTCGCAAAAAGATCTGCGCATAGGTACATTTCATGTTGTCATCGCTAATCATAGTCCCACGGACAAAGATAGAAGCGCAGGCTCTACATGGTAGGTACACTAGATGGGGAACTTGTACTCCTGGTACCACAACTCACCTTCTATGAAGGCAGCCGCTAATTCACCGTCTCCGCCTTCTGCCAGATGCAACAAGATGTCTTCCACCATTCCTATCATTTCCCTCATGAACTTGCAGATGCCTTCTGCAGCACGCCACTTGTCACAGACACCGCACATCTGAAGGATACCATCCAGCCCACGGTTGGCTCTGTCAAGAAAGTCTTCAAAGTTTGTAATAGCGCGTTCGAAGACAGATCTGTCTCCGCTCCCGGTAGGATATAGCTCAGGGTCAGGCATGGTCTTGGAGTACTCATCCACGAGGAGGTTGAAGAATCTTCGTGGGGCTTTGATATGCGTCATGAAGTCATCCTTGGCATACTTGACCATGGCAATGCAGTCTTGTAAAGTTTCCCTGTTACCAATGTCAGACGTGTTGAGACATGTAAGTCAAAGCAGCACATACATCGGTTCGTCTTCATCATCTGAAAGATCGTTGACTTGACAGGCTTTTTTTTCTTGGCGTACCTGACGCCGCTTTGCCAGTATAACCTCTCGACACCTGGGGTCTTTCGGTCAAGTTGACTCAGAGATACCATCAGTTTATTACTTACTTTAGATAGTGTCGACGATGCTTGTCTCTCGCAGCTTGTACTCTATCTTGATGAGTTTTATGAATAGTCGGGCGTACCATAATGATGAATGTAGTGACTGCGAAGTAATGTTGTATGGTGAGGAGAAAAAGAATGAAGCATTTATATGAAGCACTCACATTTGTTTGGACCAAAACAATGAGTCTTTGATTTGTCAAAGCATTCGCGAGGATGGTCAGACCATAACACAATATTAAGACAGTGTGTGCGAGAGAGACCTACCAGCTAGGTGGGATGCTAGTATTTTGAAAGATACATGTGAGTGTGATGTGTCGCAGTAGTACTACCTCGTGATAAATATCACCCTGGACTTACATAGTGTTTGAATGCCTGAATCCCCCTAACTTCTATGCATGCGAGTGAAGTCAGTAACTGGATCCAAAAAGGTTGGACCATAATCATGTGGGACGATCAGCAATCAGCTGCGTAGATATTGGAACAAAATAACTAAATGGCAGGTTGTCTCATAGATTACTGCGGTATTTCACTGAGATCTATTCAACTAAGATACAGGCCTGCAATGACAAGAACATTATGTTGTAGGACTGCGGTAGGACCAAAACATGCGGTAGGACCATAATAGAATTAGGTGTTATTGGTTCCGTTGTTGGCACGTGCAACTGTGAACCAGCCACCTTGTCTGAGAAGGGAATGTATTATTCCCTTCTCAGACAAGGCGACTGGTGTTGGTAGTGGTTACCATTTTCTGGAGTCGACAGTATCAACGGGAAAGTGAGTTCTAATGCATCTTCATCTAACACGTCTCCAAATACCAATAGTGCCAGCAACATTTCTAATAACGCCAATACCATGGTAGTGGCACAAACGAGGTGTTACCATTTTCTGGAGTTGACAGTATCGACGGGGAAGTGAGTTCTAACGCGTCTTCGTCTAACGTGTCTCCAACTCCATCTAACGCGTCCCCAAATACCAATAGTGCCAGCAACATTTCTAATAACGCCAATACCACTGCGAATGCCAACTCGAACTCTAACACGATGTATTATTCCCTTCTCAGACAAGGACCTTCCAATATATTCCAGTTTCAGTAGGTCGAATACTTCTTTCCTAAATGACCACTCCGATATTCCAGTTTCAGCAGGTCAAATGCACTGTATGGCTTCATCAAGCCTTTTCTAGCTCCTCCTGTTTCTTCTGGCTAGCACCATACTTGCCGGCAATTCAGTAAGTAAATCAGATTCACTGTATGGTCTTAGTTTTATCCAAGTTTCTAGTTTCAGCAAATTGAATGCGCTGTATAGTTTCGCCAGGTCTTTTATAGAGCCATAGCGTCAACAGGTGGGTCACTTTCCTTGCCATTCTTACGCTGACCAACATGTCAGTCAAAGTACCATTCTTCATCGAACACGTCTCATTTTCACCTATCGCCATCAATAATGCAGTCTCCACAGCACCAAAGGAGCTCACATTCGTCTACGATGGCACTCCTGAATTCGAGCAGGCAGCACGATCGATGGCAGATGAGTGCCTGCTTTCATACTATAATGGCGTCTATTACAATCTTCCAGGTGCGTTAATGGCGGTGGAATTTCTCTCATTGCTAACAGTATTTCAGAACAAGTCAAAGACAAGCAATTACTCTTCTATGTCATTTGTGGTTCCCACATTGGTGTAGTCACTGGCTGGTGAGCGCAGTTTTGTTATGAATATTTATTATATTTATCAAACATTTGAACACTAATAGGGAGAATGCATTGAACTGCGTCCTGGGCGTTAACAAGCCTGAATATCATGAAGTTGTATCTATTGCGCTCAGGGAGCAACTGGTGAGGGAGGCAATTGATAAAGGCCAAGTAGAGATGGTAGATCCCTGGGGGCTCTGATAGTTCGGCCTGTTCTATTAGTATTACTATTTGTCAGTCGCGCTGTAGAGTCTTATGAAATTCGGGTGTCCATTACTATTTGTCAAGTCGCGCTGTATTCGCGTGTCTGAGGTTTTGAAACGTTTGGGGTCCTCAATTCCCACAGTGACAGTCAACATTGACCCAATCAGTTCCTTGCCAGCAGTAGCGTGCCATGGATGAATCATCACAGACCGTTCAGGCTGTACCTCTTTCATGCTCATTCCATCAGTTAAATAGCCATGGGCGTGGACGAGGTCATGGGCGATCAAATTCAGACATACCAAGCCGAAAGTGCGCTCGACTAAACCCCTACACACCCACGAATCCACATTCCAAAGCACCCATCCATACCTCTGTCACATTTGCATCACATCGAGAAGGCGATTTGATTGTATCTAAACAGAAAATCCTAGGGACTGCATCCATATTGTCATCCTATGAACCTGACAGCCAATATGCTGTTTCAGGAGAGGATTTCTCTGATTTTCCCTATGATTGCGAGGAACCGGAACCATCTGTATTACTAGATGAGAGTGCAAGGCATAAGCGAACAGCTGTGGTATGTTTTATTTAATGATAAGTAATTGTTCTCATTGATCAAACGAGACATTAGGACCATCCCCTTCTCATCTGGATGAAGGAACATGATTTTTTTCTAGCGGAAATTCTGCGACACGATGGACGCGGAGATCACACTTCTGACACATGTCCTGGATGTCGATGTCCGACATATACACCCCCACAATATCGATGCCAGGAGTGTCTGGATGCGCAATTGTACTGTGGCGCCTGTATCATCCAGAATCACATATGGTTACCTACCCACCATATTCATGTCAGTTTATTTTCTCAATTGTGAAAGCACTGATAGCTCATTAGCTTCTTAGGAATGGAATGGTCAATTTTTTGAGCGTGTTTCATTGAAAAGCATGGGCCTTCGCGTACAGCTGGGTCACGCAATTGGCGAGCGGTGCATTCTTCCCAGAAAGGCATTCAACGACGATTTTGTTCTCATCGATGCCAATGGTATTCATGAAATTGGGCTGGACTTCTGTGGCTGCACGACCTCCCAGACACATACTAGGCAACTACTGCGTGCTGGTTGGTTTCTGTCAACTTCTACTAATCCACGAACGGCCGCAACATTCCATGTTCTTCATCAATACCATATTCTGTCTTTTGAGTCAAAGGCTTCCGCATATGAGTTTTATCACTCGCTGGTTCGCTTAACGGACAACACAGGCTTGACCAAATGAAAAGTAAGTTTTAATCTCACTAAGTGTGAATTTTTCAGTTCACACTGTCGTTTCAGGATCATTATGAATCTTTCATGCGCATGGTCCGTGAATGGCGTCACTTGGTGATGTTAAAGCGCTCAGGACGCGGCCATGATCCAAGTGGTGTGGCGGGTACTTCGGAGGGTCAGTGTGCTGTGTTATGTCCTGCATGTCCGCAGCCTGGGAAAAATCTCCCGGACAATTGGCAAGATGCTCCAAAGGCCAAAGGGTGAGTCCGATATATATCACAAGGTGGTCAGGACTCGAGAGCGCTGATCATATCTCAGTTGGCTATATGGACTTTTTCTGGCGATTGATGCCAACTTTCGTCTGAAAAGACATGTGGTATTGTCCGATGAGATTGATCCCAGCCTTTCACGAGGTTGGGCTTATTTTGTAGAGGAGGCATCTTACAAGTCTCACATCTCAGACAGGGCTGAAGATACACAAGAGGTACGTTTCTTCACCACTTGGGTCAAGATGCTGTCTGACATTCTAACTTGCAGAAAAGCACGTGCTCCAGCCACAACGCTGTGAACATGGCAGACACCAAATTATCTCAAGGACTTGCAGCAATGGGAGTAGGTACTGTTGATTGTGTGTGTCATAATATGAAGCGTCCCAATGGAGTCAGCGACCTTCAAAAGGGAGAAAAGTGGGTTTTTTCTCACTAATTTTATGGTCTGATCTAACAAACACGATCAGGTATCTGAACATGGATTATCTGTTTTTCTCTACACTACGACACTCCATGGTAGATGTCTTGAATGTGTCATATGACATCGCTTGTCAATGGCACAAGCATCTTTGGTCACGCATGCTGTCTTTGCCACCTTCCCACCACTTGAACTATTTTACGAGGACGATCCGCTTCTTTGTGCCCAAGTTCCATCTCCTTGCGCACGTCTCCAAGTGCCAAACGATTTTTTCATTCAACTTTACTCGCTTTGTCAGGCGCACGGATGGTGAGGCACCAGAGAGAGGATGGTCCAATATCAATCCTGTAGCTTCAAGCACGAAGGGTATGGGTCCAGGCTGTCATCAAGACACACTAGACAATCATTTCGGTGACTGGAACTGGAAAAAAGTAGTTGGACTTGGTGAGCTCTAGTTGCGCAGTATTATGTACACAAAAACTAATAGAGTTGGTTTTAGGATCATCGCTTTTATTCAAGATAAAAGAAGCCCAGACAGAAAAGGCCGAGCATGGTGCTGCCTTCGAGGAGTTTGATAGTGTCATCACGTCTGAAAATCGTGTGGCCTGGAAGGTTGAAATGGAGGCATGGGAGGAAAATCCAAACGATACGTGTTACAGTAACATGACACGAGTCCCCCGCCAGCAGACAGCCCTCTGCCACCGCATGGCTATAGACGATACCAGAGTCTCACCAGCTCTATGACGATAAATGACGATAGATGATGATAGACGATAAGCAGCAACTGCCGGCTTAGATAAGCGGTCTGGACCGCACGTGACATGACATGACGACATAGGTCTAGAAGACCTATTTATGTTATCAAGATAGAAGGCAAGCCTCGTGCTGCCTCATGTACTGGATAGAAGGATGCCTCATGGATCCTATCTACGATAGAAGCCCGCCTCATGGACGCTATCTCTGACTCATGTAGATAAGCAGATTAGAACCCAGCTTTAGGCTGAGCTTAGATACGAAGATTAGCCTTATATAAGGTCGAAGATTAACAGTAGACGTTCCTTACTTTAATCTTACTAGGTTTACCCTTGAACTCCTTGTCCCGCTAAAGCTACCTGCTCGACATCGACTCGTACCTTCAGTGACGCCTCTCACTGTCTGTAAACCGCTATCATCTCAGCGTAACCCCTCATTAACCACCACGAGCTATGTTCGAGTACGCAACCTTTGCTTGTCTGTAAAGGCTGACGACTCTCAGCACTCGGTACCACTGTCGTGGTTGTCGCTGTTTAGATCATCCTAGTCGCACACGACCGTTTGTCGTAACAATACGATGGTTTCCAACCTGTTACAGCTGAAAGGCATTGGTGAGTTTGATTTGATCTCTTTGGTGTACCCTACTTGACATATAAATCGACCAGCGATTACACAAGCAAGTGCACGCTTGAACTTAGCCCAGCTCGAGGCTGAGGATCTCGAACGTGGTGTAGATCTTTCACTTCACCCTGATGTATCGCCAAGTGTACTCATCGCATCAGGCATTGACCTTGAAGAAGAACAGTGAGTGATTAGCACATGTCTCGCTCACCATACTAAAACACTCTACAAGGCAGCGCTTGAAGGCCATAGCCGACAACATGGGTATTCATGCCATGGATACACAGAAGTTGAGTATCCTCCGCATGAGGATGTCTCTTCGTCGAAAGACCGAATCTTGGAGGCGGACCCAGCTTCTATATGTACCATTGGTGCAAGTACTCGTCAACACGTCAGCAACCAGTGCTCTTGAAAATGCTGAGCTTATGAAGCTGTGGCTCCCGTCCGCATTGAATGGTAATGCTTGTGATTTGCACCTCCAACACATCGAGTGGGAATTGCGATTCACACAAGCTCACGACGCTTTAGAAGATCTTAGGCAGTGCCTCCATGTACACTGCTCCCTTTTGAATTTCAAGAAAGAATGGATTCGGGGCCAAGGGGCCAATACTCGGGCTCAAAACGCGCTCGCACGTATACATGCTAGGCAGGCGGCGTGCGTAAAGCGCTATAGGACTGCATTGGGGGCTCTCAAATCTCTCGCACAGATTCTGAAGAAGGTAGATTGGCGTGGATGGTTGCAGGACCTCTCTGATGACGACGTGAAGCCACTCATCGACCCATTTGCCACTCAGGGAGAGGGAAGGTGAAGACTGACATGGATTTGGATGATGGATGGTGTGGACAATTGCGCAGATGGTGGGGACGTTGATGGTAAGGTTTCCGATCCATTTTTCATGGGATTAATCTCAGCGTTTGCCAGGTGTTCATGTTGAATGGTGCAAATCCCGTGCCAGGGCGCTTCGCTGGGCTGAAGAAGTGGACCTTCTCCAGGAGGAGATGTGCCGGGTTTTGCTATTTTTCAATTGGCAGGCAAATTGGTGGGAAGGACAGGGAGTCCTCCAGGTCTGTGAGTCCACCCCCTGCGATGGAGAAGAACCAGGAACTGCTGCCCGCCGTGAGGCTGTTGCCCGGGATGAAGGCTTGCACACTTATGCGTCTAGGCAAGCCAATATTTGCCGTTGCCTCGCTGCCCATTTTGACTGCATATGGGCCCCATTCACTTCTCCTCAAGACATACTGGGCAATCCAACTGCCGCGCTCCCATTACCTGATTTAACAATCCCTGATATGCCCTGACGCTTCGGATTTTCTGTCGATTGTTGGTACCTACTTAGTGTACCTTGTATTACATCACTAGTACCGAATGAAGTTGCTGGTCTTAAAATTGCCGGTTCTAAGTTACCTTAAAGTTACTGGGGCCCAGACCAAAGTATAGGCTGGTAGGGTACTATGGCATCAAGGCACTCAAGGGCACTCGAGTCTGATAGTGAGCATAGTTTAATGCATCAATAATGCATCGGGAGGCTTTGTAATGTACATAGTTGATGCATTAGCTATCACTGGACACCAGCAGACTTGATGCATCAATGCTACAGGGACTTGTGCCTTGATACGTGATGAAGACACTCTTCCACAGGATCCCGATACGCAACAGCAACATCAACCAGTAGCAGTTCAGGTAGACACCGGTGAACATGGAGGCGGCCTATCCTGTTGCTGCTGCTAGAAGCATTGGTGAATGTCCATGGGTATTTCAGTTTTATCGTTCATCTTGTCATGATATCCACATTGGCAGTAGTTTATCGATAGGCTTATCAGCATCCTTTAGGTTACTTTGTGTCCTCTCTATAGCTGATTGTGAACCTTGACTCCGCCATATGTGAATCTTGACTTGCTCATAGGCTACTGAGTGTCAGATATTGTGCTCGTGTGCAACTACAGGGCCATTCCGCATCCAAAAGATGTCTCGTCAACTGCACATGCAGCAGTTTATTCAAATCTTCAGTGGCACCAGTTTATACAGCACCCCACATCTTCATGTATCAGCACTGCCATGCGCATACTAACCCCATGTAAGTATCTAGAACATTTTATACGACTTTTTGTGTAGCATCTAGACGTGATATGAACTGGCCGCCGGCTGCCCAGACCATGCTCAGGGAGCACACTGGTTTACTGAACTCACCCTTGTTCTCGCTGGACGCCACTCGCATCGTAATTGTGATAAAACTGCCGGCTGTAGAATACAGCGACAAAGCAGTCATTGCAACAGTGCGCTGAGTGAGCATGCTCATATGAACATTGCATCACTGACATATCCCATCGAGGTCACCACTGCCATGACAAACAATGCTTGGAGCAATCACTTCGTTCGTTTCTCATCCAACTCTGCCCATGCACTGTGTGACACTGCCAAATCAACGGAGGGAGCAAGCATCCTACGATGTCCGCGGATCGACTCCTTTTATCCTGGATTGTGACAGTGGTTGGATGGTGAGAGGAGACCTTCTCACCAACTTGGGTACTTAACTTACAGGTGACGACAACCAGAGTTTGGTGAAACATCGTCCATCCTCGTCAACTAGTCCATCAGGAAATTATGAGTTTACCTTACCTTACTTATTTCGAACTTTTCCCACTTATTTCAAGTTATTTAAAATTGACCTACTTTTTTCTGAAATTTGACAACTGCTTCAAAATTGAGTATTCCAATATGTTTGTTGGGCCTGAGAGACATGTTTCATTGCATAAGACCAACAATTAGTGACTAGTATAAAGTTTGAGTGACACATTAATGCTGATGATTTTCTTTCTTAAATGTTCTCTTGAGGTACCATCTTGCAAATTGAGAGTCCAATAATTTTATAGCATACATTCATAATGATGGCTAACAGATCCTGATAGTTCAATTGGGACCAGGTGGTGATTTAAGAAAAATAAGGAGATCCATTTGAAATAAGTGGGAAAAGTTCAAAATAAGTAAGGATAAGGTAAACTCATGATTTACTGATGCTCGATGTTAAGCTGACGCGTGGATTACATCGAGCAAATGAAGAAAATGAGAGAATCTAAAATTGTGCCCTTCGAGTCGTCTGAAGAACTGTACAATAACGCTTTGTACTAGCTTCAAAACATTGAAGGACTTCACGCAGACCAACGAGACGATCTGCTCTGCTCTACGTGGGATCGACATTTGCCCAAATAGCGATCAGACCAGTCTAGACAAGCGAACTACAAGATATTACTCTCAGCAGTGCAGACAAACAAACTGTTCAAAATTAGCTTGCAGCGGTCCTGGATTGAGACTTGAGTGTTATCACTCACCTTTCAGATTTCAACTGATGTCACAGCCCGGAAATACATGAGGACAGAGACGTCTCTTCTGACCTTGTCCACTTTGTGTTGGGCTTGCTGGCATCGAAGGAACAAACAGCTGCGATGAGATGAATATTGGAAGTGAAAGGAAAGGTAAAGTGCCGATTGTTGAAGAGGTTTGAGACGAAGACAGGCACATTCAAGTTGACTCGAGGCCCCACTCTTTGATTTCTAACGACTCAGAGTTGATATTCTTGACGAAGTCGACGCTGTTTTGTAAGGATACTCAAACATGAACAGGTTGGGTTCGAGTCTCACTCGTCCACTCGTTAGTACGAACGATTGTTCGCCTTGGATAGCCTTTCGGTGCGTTTTTGATAGTGCAGCATCACGTGAATAGAAGAGAGCGGGTACCTGTGAAAGGGATGGCTTCTGTTCACATCACGAAGATCAAGGTGTTGGAGGACGCTTCACGAGGAAATACATGGATGGATGCTAACTACTAGATGTCCTGAGAAAGTACTCAAGCCTGAGAACGTTGTGGTACCAGGGCTTGGGCCCGGCTTGTGCATGTGATTTCTCAAAGCCCTGGCCGCATCTCTCAGGACGACATGAGCAGCTCTGACGGCTGTCTTTAAGTTGTTCGGCTTTGGAAATCTCCTACTTAAGCCCTCAAGCTATATACTGGACATGCAGAGTACTCCTGCGCAATCGACTATCTTCAACTAACTAGGGAGATTTGATATACTTCGTTCTCATAATAGAACTTATTGGGAAGGTCAGGTGAACCAGCTCGTGATTCAAATATTCACGGTTGCTTCCATACAGTCAGCTACAGTACACGAACCTCTACAACTCAGAGAAAGACACCCACAATCCCTCGACCGTACTCAACACCATCAACCCCTAGTAAAATGTCGCAGCTCATTCCAAGCACTACACCCCTTCGAACTTTTGAAGATCATGAGAAGAGCATAACCGCAGTTGCAGTGTTCCTTGATAAACAACGAATGATTACAAGCTCGGACGACAAGACACTTCGTCTTTGGGACTTGAAAACAGGTGTTGTGTTGAAGAAGATGGAAGGGCATGGGACTGAGGTGCAAGCATTGGCGATATCGCGAGATGGTAAAATAATAGCAAGCGGTGATCGGAGTGGAGAGGTCATCGCCTGGCACGGTGAAACTGGCGAATCCATGACCCAACCCATCTAAGCCCACTCCAGGAGGATCAGCTGGGTGGATTTTTCTCCGGATGGAATGGTGCTAGCCATTGGTTCATGGGACAGCATGGTCAAGTTTTGGTGTACCAAAACGTGGCAGATGCAAGGAGATCCAATCGAGTGTGGCAGTAGTTTTGTCTTCTGCATTCGATATTCGCCTTCTGGGGAACTTCTTGCCATCACAACAAGACACAATATCCAAATCTATAATCCAGGCACAAAAGAATGTGTCGTATCTTTGACAAGTCGCACCAGTGGATGGAACTATTCACTCGCGTGGACGCCCGATGGCGCACGCCTTCTTTCAGGAAGCAGTAGTAATTCTATATCGGAGTGGGACACATCAACCTGGCAGCAGGTCGGTCATCCCTGGGAAGGCCACACTGACGATATCAACGCCATTGCCATTCATCCCACTGGCACGCTCGTCGCTTCTGCATCTAAAGACAACCATGTCCGTCTCTGGCGGCTCTCAGATCAGCGAAATGTCGCCATCTTCCAGCATTCAGCTGAACTGACATGTGTCACGTTCTCTGCGGACGGCAAGCACATCCTCGGCGGAGATGATAATAAGATCTCAGAGTGGGCAGTACCAAAGGACGCTCATTCAAAGGTGAGTTTCCATTTCTGACACTCGTTATGCAATTCGAGCATCCTTCATACAGATTCTTGACATCACAATAGCCCGCGGTCCTGTATAACCGGGGATTTGTTTATCGCTGAAGAGCTCCTCACCGAAGAGATCCACGCCAACGCCAACGACTTTAATTCATATGCCAATCGTTCTTTCGTCATGGCCCGGAAGCACGACTGGGACCATGCCCTTGAGGATGCAATCAAGGTGAGATGGACTCACCCATCATTGTCCTCTTACGAAAGGCTAATATTCATTCGTGACATAGTCGATCAACATTAAACCATTATTGATTGGCTTCATCTCCAAAGGCATCGCCCTCTGCGGAAAAGGTCACGTCCGGGAAGCAAGGGTAGCATTCGACGTCGCATCCATGTTCACCAACCAAGATTCAGAAATTAACCAATCTCTTCTCTTGATCAAGGTACATTTAATCCGTCTCCCATGCTATCGGCTTCATCCGGTATCCCAGGCCATCGCACTCTTCAACGCAGATCAACACGAAGAAGCAATGCTGCTGATCAAAGACCTGGCTGCCGCTTGTCCAAATGTCGATTCTCTCGCGTGTCGTGTGGTGGAAGTGAGTATCATGCGGCCACACTCGGTCATCACTAGTCACTCCTGATCTTGTCAACTCGCACAATAGACATATCTCCGTGTTCAGCTCGGGATCAAAGCCTTGGATGATGCGCGTCACGACGAAGCTACTGATCACTTCGCTGCCGCTGTCAACTCTACTGCATTCTCATCGAAATACATTCATTTGATATATGAGGACTTGACTGTGGTATGTCAAGATAATGCATACATAAAATGCTTTTTATAACCTAGTGCTTTGTCCAGCTCTTTGGCTGGGATCTCGAGTCCTTGTTGCTAACTACACACCAGAAACGGTGCCAATCATTCCTTTCGGCAGGTAAACTCGACGATGCCCTCGAAGCACACAAACACATGATGGACGCCATCGACGACATTGCGAAGGCCAGCTGTCTTGATTGGTCCAACGGCAAGTCTTCTGTCATGTCACCCCGACTATCACGCTCACCCACGTGTCATTCAGAGTTCAAGGAGAAATGCAGCACGCTCGCTGCGGACAACGACCGTATTCTTGGTGTATGTACCCTGTTCCTCACCTTTTTCGCTACTGACCATTATGCAGGCGGAGATCCCGGGACAAGAGCAAGATGGCTATGATACAGAACCCAATTTCTTCTATGAAATGCATCAAGTGCGTGCAAGAGCGTATCTCTCTGTTCTCTCTCACACATAGTTCATTACAGCATTCTCAGATTTCGAGGCCAAGACTTCAAGAGCGCCATGGGCGACTCAAAAGAGTCAGGCTCGCAATGACGAGAGCCCGCCATTCAGCTCATCCACCACGTCACCGCCAGTTGCCGCCACTTCCACCTTCAAAACTCACCTACAACGCCTATTTACCCGGCCGCCCCACCATGCAACGCCGCCTGTTGTCGAGGTTCCTTTTGCTCAGGGTCGACAAGTGCGCTCAGTTATTTTGTTATAACTGTTTCTTGGGTATCTCACACTTAAATCTACAGCGTAATGCTGCAGCGGGTGCTCCTGGGAGTGACGAGTCCTTGATACGTGATGAAGACCCTCCTTCACAGGATTCCAATGCGCAACAGCAACATCAACCAGTAGCAGTTCAGGTAGACACCGGCGAACATGGAGGCGGCCTATCATGTTACTGCTGCTAGAAGTATCGGTGAATACCCATGGGTATTTCAGTTTTATCGCCCACTCTGTCATGATATCTACATTGGCTTGATTCGGCAGTTTATCGATAAGCATCAGCATTCTTTAGCTCACTTTGTGTCCTCCGAGTCTATAGCTGATTGTGAACCTTGATTCCTCCATATGAATCTTGACTTGCCCATAGGATACCGAGTATCAGATCAGATATCGTGCTCGTGTGAAACCACAGGGCCATTCCGCATCCAAAAGATATCGATTCGTCAACTCCACAGGACATGCAACAGTTTATTCAAGTCTTTGGCGGCATCAGTTTACACAGCACCCCACACCTTCATGTATCAACACTGCCATTCGCCTACTAACTCCAAGGTACTATCTTCAACTAACTAGGGAAATTTGATATACCTCGCTCTCATGACAGAACGTATCCCAAAGTTCCTCTCCACTCATATCGACCCAAGCGCACCTCCATTTGTTTTCGGGGAAGTGTTTGACGTCCCTCGACTCAGTCAAGCCATAGGGATTCACTTGCTTCAATGAGACGAAGTCAAGGATCCAGAAAGCCAGGTTCTCGATGATCTTGGCTACGGTTGGACTGTCTGGGAAACCGTTCAACAGCACCTCGAGATTCCTGAACCACGACAAAGTCCTTCCCTGAACCTGCTCAAGCTCGGTGAGACAACTTCGAACATCCCTCTTCAGTGATTAAACGCTTGGCCATCACAGATGTCATGTGGACGCGAACCTCAGCTTGGGTCAAGCTGATATCTCCTAGCCTTTTCGTCTCTTGCATCACTTGGGTTTCCAGAGGCTCATTTGAAAACCTGGATTTATCATCAACGGATTATCCTTCTCTTCAGCATCAGGTTTCCCTTCCCCCAGACGATCACGTATTATGCTTCGATTTCCTTTACTACATAAGCGCGCATCATACATGGGAATGGGAGTTAGACTATTCTCCTGCATGGAGATTTGTAGGCCAACACATGCGATGGACTGCAAGCATGGAAAAGATTGCCGATGCGCATACCCGACGCGCCATGAATGTACCAGCAACTGAAACAACTCCTCCCGCGAGTCAAATTTTCGGGCATGGGTTACTCTACAGATCTAACTTTTGACAGTATATCCATCAACATGCGGCACGGTGACTTCAGCCAGCAATGCTAGGAGTTTCCTGTAGATCAGTGCTTCGCCCCATTGTCTGTTATTGCGCGCAGGGTATCCGAGGTGCAAGAAGAGCTTCGGACACGAAAAGGGATTGAGACCACGCATGTTATCATGACGAGCGACGAAAGGGACCCGGAATGGTGGTCAGATGTTAGGGCGTTGGGGTGGATGTGGGTAAATTATGCGGCGGAGCAGACAGAGGAGATCTATGGAAAATGGTGAGCTGATTAGATGTCGTATTTCCATTCTGACGCTAAAAGTTGTGGCTGCCACCAGGCATCCGGTGTTCATTGATGCTATCATTCGGTCGAATGGAGCTTGCGTCGTTGGCACTCGTGGTTCTATAATGTCCACACTAGCTAGCCGCCGAGTATAGTCGTGGCATGACGGAGCGACTCGGCTCGTTAGATGGGGGTGGCCGGGCGCGGACGACCACTGATGCTGATTGGAATGCTAGGATCGAGACTACTTTGTGTGTTACAAATCATTGGCTACAATGTTCTTGTGTGATGCACATAATAGTCGCTCTCGGGCTCGAATTCACAGGCGAAAGCAACGAAGGCTTAATCTTCTTGATGCATAGTACAGGAAAAGTTGCCTTCCTGACGGGAATCAACGTTTAACAATCAAGACGCACCATAGACATGTAGAGGCCTTATACTAGAGCCGTAAGGTGAGCGGCGATGAGACGTAAGACTTGAGCTTGAAGGTTTGTTGGAGAGGTGTGATACTGGCTTCATGTCTCGGTAGGGCTTGAAACTGTGAAGACAAATGTCGGCCGCATGTAGCCAGTACAATCGGGTGGGATCAATCTTGCTGCAATGGTGATGGCGAACTGCCTCGTGTCTTGGGCGTTTATGGAAACGAGGAAGGTTAGCGTGGTGAAGCAACATGAAAACGCATAATACACGCACCTCTGTAACTTAGAGAAAGACACCCGCAATCCCTCGGCCGTGCTCAACACCATCAACCTCCAGTAAAATGTCCCAGCTCATTCCAAGCATCACACCCATTCGAACTTTTGAAGATCATGAGGGGCGCATAAGCGCAGTCGCAGTGTTCCCCGATAAACGACGAATGATTATGGCCTCGAACGACAAGACACTTCGTCTTTGGGACTTGAAGACAGGTGTTGTGTTGAAGAAGATGGAAGGGCATAGCAGTGAGGTGCATGCATTGGCGATCTCGCGAGATGGTAAAATAATGGCAAGCGGTGATGAAAAGGGAGAAGTCATCGCCTGGCACGGTGAAACTGGCGAATCCATCACCCAACCCATCAAAGCCCACTCCGAAAATATCTGCTCGGTGAATTTTTCTCCGGATGGAATGGTACTGGCCACTGCAGCTGGTTCAACATGGGACAAGACGGTGAAGTTTTGGTGTACCAAAACGTGGCAGATGCAAGGAGAACCAATCAAGTGTATACATGACTATAGTGTCAGCTCTCGTGTCTTCTGCGTTCGATATTCGCCTTCTGGTGAACTTCTTGCCATCGCAACAAGAGACGAAATCCAAGTTTATAATCTAGGCACAAGGGAACGCGTCGCATATTTGGCAGGTCGCAAATTATGGAGCACGTCACTCGCGTGAGGGCATGTAGGAAATGGCCGGTCTGTGTTAAGTCTGCGCAGACTCCGCCCCAAAGTCTGTCTGGGCAGAGTCTGGGGGACATGTCTGGGTTGTGTTTTGTCGGCAAGTTCCGGGTTGCCTGTTCTGACATCATTCATCAGCACTCCGCCACGATCGTAGTACGTGAGCCACTGTGACACTAATCCCATCAGCTACCACTGTCAGTGGCTAGCCACCCCTGCCATCTACATCAACCACCCCCGTCAGCACTTCACCCACCCCTGTGTCACGCATCAGTAGGTGCAATCAACGACGGGTGCGATTGATGACATTCCGCAGGATGGCACCTGGAATACGAGCTGCAGTCGATGATATGTTGTCTGTGGGCGCGGCGGGCAACGTGAAATGGCGGGAGAGGCTGAGGCGGGATGGCGGGGGACTGAGTCCGACTGACGCTAAATTATGAAATAATACGGCGGGCAGACAAACATAGGCTTCCCGGCACTTTCCGGACAACCGCTGGCAGACCTGTCCCCCAGACTTTAACACGGAGTCTGTGACCTGTCTGTATAGACCTGACGCAGACTGGCCAAATCCCGCACTTTCTGACTCGCGTGGACGCCCGATGGCACACGCCTTCTTTCAGCACGCAGTGATTACATATTGGAGTGGGACACATCAACCTGGCAGCAGGTCGGTCATCACTGGGAAGGTCACACTCGTAGAGGCAACGCCATTGCTATTCATCCCGCTGGCACCCTCGTCGCTTCTGCATCTGTTGACAAGCATGTCCGTCTCTGGCGGCGCTCAGATCAACGAACCATCGCCATCTTTCAGCATCCATCTGCCGCGACATGTGTCACGTTCTCTGCGGATGGCAAGCACATCCTCAGCGGAGGTGAAGACAATAAGATCTCAGAATGGGCAGTGCAACATTCAAAGGCGAGTTTTCATTTCTAACTCATCACGCAATTCGAGCATCCTTGGTACAGATCCTTGATATCACATCAGCCCGCGATGCCTGTCTAACTGGGGACTTGTCTATTGCTGAAGAACTCCTCACGCAAGAGATCCACACCAACGCCGATGACTTTACTTCATATGCCAATCGTTCGTTCGTCATGGCCCGGAAGCACGACTTGGACCACGCCCTCGAGGATGCAATCACGGTGAGACAGACCCACCCATAATTGTCCTCTTACGAAAGGCTAACTTTCATCCGTAACTTAGTCAATCAACATTCGGCCATCATTGATAGGCTTTATCTCCAAAGGCATCGCCCTCTGTAGAAAAGGTCACGTCCGGGAAGCAAGGGCAGCATTCGACGTTGCATCGATGTTCACAAACCAAAATTCAGAAACCAGCCAATTTCTTCTCTTGATCAAGGTACATTTAATTCATCTCCCATGCTCTCTGCCTCATCTGGTATCCCAGGCCATCGCACTCTTCAACGCAGATCAACACGAGGAAGCAATGCTGTTGATCAAAGACCTGGCTGCCGCTTGTCCAAATGTCGATCCTCTCGCGCGTCGTGTCGTGGAAGTGAGTGTCATGTGGCCACACTCGATCATCAATCCTGATCTATTCAACTCGCACAATAGACATATCTATGTGTTCAGCTCGGAATCGAAGCTTTCGATGGCGCGCGTCACGATGAAGCCGCTGATCACTTCACTGCCGCCGTCAACTCGGGCGCTTTCGCATCAAAATTCATGCCTCAAATGTACGAGGACTTGACTGTGGTGTGTCAAGATGATGTATATAATGTTCTTCATGACCTAGTGCTTTGTCCAGCTCTTTGGCTGGGATCTCGAGTCCTTGTTGCTAACTACACACCAGAAACGGTGCCAGGCTTTCCTTTCGGCAAGTAAACTCGACGAAGCCCTCGAAGCATACAAATACATGATGGACACCATCGATGACATTGCGAAGGCCAGCTGTCTCAATTGGTCCAACGGCAAGTCTTCCGTCATGTCACCCACGACTATCACGCTCACCCACGTATCACTCAGAGTTCAAGAAGAAATGCAGCACGCTCGCTGCGCATAACGACCGTATTCTTGGAGTATGTACGTCTTTCCTTACCTCTTTCGATACTAACTTTTATGCAGGCAGAGATCCCCGGGCAAGATCATGATGGATATGATACACAACCCAATTTCTTCCATGGAATGCATCAAGTGCGTGCAAGACCGTATCCTTCTGTTCTCTCTCACATAGTTCATTACAGTATTCGCAGAATTCCCGGCCAAGACTTCAACAGCGAGCTGGGCGCTTCAAAAGACTGAGGCTCGCTCTGACGAGGAGGCCTCAGTCAGTTCCTGCACCTGCACCACCCACCACATCACCACCAGTTGCCGCCGCCACCACCACCACCACCACCACCACCTTCAAAACTCACCTACGACGCCTATTTACCTTACCACTCCATCATACAACGCCACCTGTTGTCGACGTTCCTTTTGCCCAAGGTCGACAGGTGCGCTAGGTTATTTTGTCATGACTGTCTCTTGGGTGTCTCACACTCAAGTCTACAGCGTAATGCTGCAGCGGGTGCTCCTGGGAGTGAGCACTCCTTAATACGTGATGAAGACCCTCCTTCACAGGATCCCAATACGCAACAGCAACATCAACCAATAGCAGTTCAGGTAGACACCGGCCAACATGGAGGCGATCTTTCCTGTTGCTGTTGCTAGAATCATTGGTGAATGTCCGTAGGTATTTCAGTTTTATCGTTCATCTTGTTATGATATCTACATTGGCAGTAGTTTATCGATAGGCTTATCAGCATCCCTTAGGTTACTTTGTCCTCTCTATAGCTGATTGTGAACCTTGACTCCTCCATATGTGAATCTTGACTTGCTCATAGGTCACTGAGTGTCAGATATCGTGCTCGTGTCCAACCACAGGGCCATTCCGCATTCAAAGGATATCTCGTCGACTGCACAGGACATGCGGCAGTCTTTGGCGGCACCAGTCCACACAGCACCCCACATCTTCATGTATCAGCACTGCCATTCGCCTACTAACTCCACGTAAGTATCTAGAACATTTCTAAACGACTTCTGAATACTCTTCGTATAGCATCTAGACGTGATATGAACTGACCGCTGGCTGCCCAGACCGTGCTCAGGGAGCACACTGGTTTACTGAACTCACCCTTGTTCTCGCCGGATGCCACTCGCATCGTAACTACAGGTTCTTTTGACAAACCTGTCCGGCTGTGAGATGCAGCGACGAAGCACTCATTGCAATAGTGCGCTGAGTAAGACCATTCAGCGTCCTCACATGAACATCATCTCATGACGTATCCCATCGAGGCCACCATTGGTACTGCCATGACAAACAATGTTTGGAGCATTCGCTTCATTCGCTTCTCATCCAACTCTGCCTATGCACTGTGTGATACTGCTGAATCAACGGAGGGAGCAAGCATCGCACGATTTCCGCAGATCGACATTTATCCTGGATCGTGACAGTGGCTGGATGGTGAGAGGAGACCTTCTTCCCAACTTGGGTGCTTAACTTACAGGTGACGACAACCAGAGTTTGGTGAAACATCGTCCATCCTCGTCAACTAGTCGATGTTAAGCTGACGCACGGATAACATCGAGCAAATGAAGAGGATGGGGGAATCTAAAATTCTGCCCTCCGAGTCATCTGAAGAACCGTACAATAACGCTTTGCAGGTTCAAAACCTTGAAGAACTTCACACGGACTAACGAGACGATCTGCTCTGCTCTGCGTGGGATCTACCTTGGCCCAAACAATGATCAGACCTCTTTGGACAAGCGAACTGACCTTACTCTCAGCAGTGCAGAGAAAAAAATGTTTAGAGGTAGCTTGCAGCGATCCTGGATTGAGTGTTATTACTCACCTTTCAGATCTCAACTGATGCCACAGCCCGACAACATCCACGAGGATAAAACCACCAGAGACATCTTGTCCACTTTAGTGTTGGGCTTGCTGACATTGAAAGAACGAACAGCTGCGATGAGATGAATATTGGAAGTGGAAGGAAAGGTAAAGTGCCGATTGTCGAGGAGGTTTGAGACGAAGACAGGCACAACGAGGCCCATTCTTCGATTTCTAACGAAAAACTGGTATTCCTTGACAAAGTCGACCCTGTTCTGTAATAAAAGGATATTAGAACATGGTCAGGTTGGGTTTGAATCTCGTTAGGACGCTTCACATAGATGCTAGCTAGATGTCCTGAGAGAGTATTCCGAGTTA